GTGCTCAGTTCTGCTTCCGACCAGCGCGGCTTCATACCAAGCATGCGCATCGCGGCCTTGACCGCGACAAACAAGCTGTTGTTGCGCGTGTTGACGCCGCAATTCGACTTGTTCATCTTCTTCTTCCTAGGCGCGGGCAACCTTGCACGCGGCGGCTCCACGGCGCCATGTTGGACTTCGGGGACCAGCAACGCTGGCGCTGTACCGTTGACCATCTCAGCGCCGTTGACGATCGCTTCGTCGTTGGTCGTCTCTGCGCCAATGGCCAGCAGAATGTTGCAACGGCAGCATGCTGGTCGTTGGACGACGTCGGCGCCGCGCTTCAAGGTGAGCTTCTTCTTGCCGTGCTTCTTCGCTTGGGCTGGCTTGCCAGGTGACGTCTTGGGTTTGCGACGCTGGCGACGGCGCTTCTTCTTCTTCGGGATCGGCTCGCTCGGGGCTGCGATCGCGATGATCTCTGCCTCCGCCATCAAATTGCACAATGCGCGCTGCTCGTGCAGCCCAGCCGATCGACGATCATGTGTTTTCTATCAGCTGGACCAAGCGTGCCAGCTGCTTTGCAACCACTGTGGCATGCATTGCCACTGCCAGAACAAGTAATGTGGCTCAATGGGAAGTGTTTATAGTTTCCTGGCGTCGCCCAGCCGGCACACGCTGCTTCATAGCCGGCCCTGTTTCACATTGAGCGACCGCTACACCGCTCCATCGATGGAGGCGACATGAAGGCGACGTGAAATGCAAGAAGAAAAAATATACTTTGCACGTCGTGCACCATCAGAGTGCCACGCGGAAGGGACAAGCAAGACCCATCGAGTGAGGTCAAAGGAATATACTCTTGAGTATGTGGAGAGGTTTGTATTAGACCCTCTTTCTTGCGTTGCAGCAGCGTCGCGAAGATTTGCACAGTCACGCCTCCACCCCGCAAGTTGGCACCAGAGCGAGCTACCAGAGCGTGGAATTGGCTCCACAAGCGCCCGCCGATAACTTTCCACCGCCAGCTCCGTATGTTATAGCCAACGCGCCGGCACCCAGATTCAGGCAGTCACAAGGCTCACCTCGAAATGTTGACGAGGGGCCTCAACTACCTCGTAGTTGTGGAACCAAACCAATCATAGGAACCAAACCAATAATGGGGGTGTCGTTTGCATAACTCATTTCAACAACAGTCGGGTCGTTCGCTGGCGGCGTGACCGCTGAAATAGCTGGCGACATCCAGCTCGTTCCTGCGTACATGTAGTATCCAAAGCAGAGATCGACTGACGCCATCGAGTGATCGCTGGCATGAGCGTGAATTACATGCATTCTTTGATGGGATCAGCAATCTTCGATGCACTTTTTGATACACAACACGGGGGCCAGATTGACGAGACGTCACTCGCTCCAGCACACTGCCGACGTCCACGATATTCAAGGCGCCTCTATATTAGCTCTCGACAATATTGATCATCCCGCGCTCGCGTCAAACACCCTAGGTACACAGGAACAACCCGCGCTACGACGGCTTTTGGCCTCGCCAAGCGACCAATGACAAAATCCACGGCTCCCAATGCAATGCACTCATGGGCTACAACATTGCCCATGAGTCTGGAGTAATTGCCTAATACAACATCATCCTCTGACTTTACATACCGGTAACAACAATGTCGTGTTGGTTATCCACTCGTATGGCGAGCTGCAGTTAT